CTGTTGTGAATGACTTTTCTTCATTCTGCTCTTTGCAAAGTACTTTCTCGTTCAGCGAGTTTGGAAACTTTGAAAGTATTAGTCGCCTCCACATTCGGTTGTTGTCCAAGGGAACTCCTGCACATTCGATGTGAGTGAGCTTTTCGGTCACACTAATCAGAGCTTGTCTGCAGCTGTAGGCATCTTCTTCTGCTCGTGGAAGCCTTTCGAGCTCTGTGATAAGCAGATCTGCTATGCATCCAGACTTGTTGAAGCGTTTATCGAGAAGTTGTATGGCTTTATCGTAGTTTTCTCCAATGACCGGCATATTGCCGAGAAGTGAAGCTGCTGTTCCTTTTAATGCCTGCCTCAAGAAAAGGAACTTGTCCACGTTGCTGAGCTGCGGGTTGCTATGGATCAGCGAGTTGAATATTGTCCAGAAAGTTGGATACTCCTTATAGCTGCCATCAAAGGTGGGAACTTCGAGCTGCGGTAGTCGTACTTTGTTCCCAGAAGACTGCCTTGTCGATGCGTAACTCTCAGTGTCTGGGTCTCTCACTGAACTAGAACGTGATGACGTCGTTAGAGTGTGGGCTTGGATCAGATTCGATTGCTTCTCCAGTTCCCTTATTCGGTATTTCAGCCTATTTGTCCAGTGAACGCCTTCAAGCTGTAGACCGTTTGCTTCTGTGCTCAAGAAGGTAGCCAAATCGTTCATCAATCTGTCCTTGTCTGACTGGTCCTTTTTTGCTCCAACAAAATTCATGGCAGTTTGCACTTGCGCCTCCAGGTTCTCCAGTAAACCTGTTAGGGAAATTTGCAGTTCATCAATCTCTGCCATTTTATCCGCTATGAAGGAGTTGCATTCGGTTGCGGTGTTGGGAAACTCAAAAGCTTTATCAATATTGCGGACCTTGTCCTCAAGACCGCTGATTGATGAGCAAGCCATAGAAATGCGAGCTTTATATAGAGTAAGCTCAGCCATCGTCTGCCTTGTGCGCATGGACTTGTATCGCTTGCGCTTTCGTCGTCTGCGTGCTTTGGCACTGCAGGTGTTGGCTTTGGTTGAGGTGTTCTGGCTGGGTACTGAGTGCACGCAGCTGTCGAGAACTGTAGAGGTTGGCTGGGCCTGAACCTTTGTGAGATTTTTTCTCGCTGAGTGCAAGAAAATTAGTCACTAGTGGGCTAGCAGTGGAGCGCTTAGCTTCTTCTAGTTGGTTAGCAAGCGTGCCGATGGGCTTGGACGCCGTGCTGACTGGTTAGGTTTGGATCCTGCCCAGTGCGATTTTGAGTAGACCTTGTAATTTAATAGTTTTTGAGTGAACTATTAAAGGTATACCAACTGTTTTTCTTTACGAACCCCTGGTCGTCTTACTAGAAGAGATCGCAGAAGAGTTCAATTTCAGTGGTAAGGTCTTCAGCTGGAGCTTTTACTACTTTCTGGTCGTCTCACGAAGAGAGAGCTCAGAAAGGTTCAATTAACCAGTGGTTTCCCCAACTGACGCTTTTACTACCTTCTGGTCGTCTCACGAAGAGAGAGCACAGAAGGGTTCAATTAATCAGTGATTTTCTGCCAACTAACGCTTTTACTACCTTCAGGTCGTCTCACGAAGAGAGAGCTCAGAAGGGTTCAATTAATTAGTGGAGAAGTATTCAGCTGGGGCTTTTACTACCTTCTGGTCGTCTCACGAAGAGAGAGCTCAGAAAGGTTCAATTGACCAGTGAAATTTCTTCGGTTGACGCTTTTACTACCTTCTGGTCGTCTCACGAAGAGAGAGCTTAGAAGGGTTCAATTGATCAGTGAAGAAGCCTGCCAACTAACGCTTTTACTACCTTCCGGTCGTCTCACGAAGAGAGAGCTCAAAAGGGTTCAATTAATTAGTGGAGTGTCTGCCACGCGGGACTTTATCAGCTTTCTGGGTAGCAAACGCCAGAAAGTGAACCGTAGGCCGAATGCACCAATTTGGTATACACCAAGCTGGTACCACTACGTTGTATAACTGTTTATTCGATAGTAGCGGAGCAGCCGCTGACTATCAACAGTGAATATGCGGAACAGCCGCTGACGATAGTGGTATAAATCGAACCAACACCAGAACTGAGTATTCAGGCCCTTTTATTCCACTATTTTGGGCGTGGATAACCTGAATGCTCACTTCTGGTAAACAAAAGTATCATACAGCATGAAGGATTGCCTACATGAAAGTAGGCGCCGCCAAGTAGACTATCAAGCACAGTGGAGGGGTGACCTGGCGGCTTAAGTGGTCAGAGAACAGTAACGTTTGTCAACGACATGCTATTGAATAATATAACATACATGATAGATCTATATTGCTAAAGGTTGTAGATTATTTGGATAATCTACGACAAGAACCACATTTTTTGATTTGATCTAGAAATCCAGCGAAAACTTGTTTTCGAAAATGTCTTGTTTTTCTCCTAGGTTAACTATTTTCAAGCGGTTTTTTCGTGCATTCTATAGGTCTTGCTTCTGTTCATAATGCAGACAACCACCCAGCCCTCACTTCTTCAATTATGTTGGAATTTTTTGCGAAAAATCGTAAAAAGTGCGTTTTTCTTTACCTTATCCTGTTTCACTTCTTTCGCATCGATTTTTTTCCAGCTTGGGCGATTATTGCTCAGAGCAATAAGCTCAACAATCCAGACAACGTCCCAGTAAACAGGAACGTCAGTGCGGGGGTAAAAATTTAAAGGACGCATCAAAAATCCAAACCCCGTGTTGCGAATTGCTGGTCCTGGAGCAAAAACTTGCACTTAGGAAAGCCGCCAAATGAAAGATTTCAGACCACTTTGCAGCGTTTTTATCCGGTTTTTAACAGTTTCTTTTGCTTTTTATATCTGTTTTACGTCATATTCTCTTCTCTGAACTTCTTCAAACAACCTTCACTATTTATGACGTCATATGTTCAAACAACCTTCACTTTTGACGCCCTGTCTCTAGGCTATCGAAGGTATGGATAGCATACTTGGCCGCTCTCACTTTCATGTAAGTTTCCATCAAAATTGAATGATAGCTGTATGATACCTATCGTTTGCCAGAAGGGAGCATCCAGGTTGCACGCCCAAAACATAAAAACTGGCATAAATAACCTCACTTGCTCACTTCTGGATCAGCCTCTTCTATATCATCTTCTACTGGAATTGTTACTAACAAGGAAAGCTACCTAACTTAGCTCGGCTTTGACAAAGGACATACATAGTCTGAATCAGCTTCAAACGCTGATTCCAAATATGCTATTCCTAACTGCCACGCACCATTCCGAAGCGAATTATGGGCTTTTAATGCGCAAAATTGGCATGCTCATACTCACGGGCATCGCGTCATCATCCATTTAAAGATAGCGTCCCGGCAGATTTTGCATTTCCATCTTTTTGCATGTTTTGGGCCTTCTCGACCCGTAGATCCCCAGTCTGAGCTTTAAAAGGGGTGAAAAGGCCATTTTCGGGGCGTTTTTTTCAATTTCCAAAAGGCAGCTCGGACGAGAATTTTCAAAGGAAAGTCGGGAGACCTGGCACGAAGACCCTGCTGCCTGTAATTTTGGCTTTGTATAGCATGCACAATGCGGGAAAGCAGTGGGGGGTCCCGCGCCGTCTAGCGGAGAATACTCGTCCGAACAAGGTGTTAGGGGAGCGAAAGGAGGAAGGGGAGCGGCGCTTGGACCGCCCCCCCCCGGCTTGCAGAGTTCACATTTTCGGCGCGGAGTTGCTGTTTTGGTTCACTTGGAGGACCTCCTATCCATCTGTGTCAAAATCTGAGGTAGGTCAATCTGCCGAGCCGCTGCCTTTAAGTGCTGATACACCTGCGTTAGGCTTTTTTTAGTGAGTAAAGATTGGATTTGTACTGTTTCGATACCTCAGCACCTTTTTCTTGCAGATTTTTATCTACAGGCAGTCTTCCCATGTTCAGTAGTATGCCAATTTTGCGTAGGAAAAAACCTATAACTCGCTTCGGAATGGTGCGTGGCAGCTAGGAATAGCATATTTAGAATCAGCGTTTAAAGCTAATTCAGAATATATATGCTCTTTACCAAAAGGCCGAGCTAAGTTAGGTAGCTTTCCTTATAAGTAAACAGTTCCTCCAACTTAGTGGCATCTAATCTATACACTAAAAATCTTTAGCCCGTGAGCAGTGGTTTATCGAAGTTCTCGATATCCTGAAATTTCATTATTTCTGCTATAAACATGTTCAGTGTCATATCATATCGTTACTAATTTTACAACGTTTCACTGAGTTTACAGGAAGAGTAATGAAATTAAAATGAGAGGTGATTCTTGGGGATCGTCAGCACCACACAAAATAATGAAAATTTGATCTTCTATGCCACCCTGTCAATCATTATGCACAGATATCTAGGTATAATAACCTTCATAGCCCTGAAAGAGAAAGAGAAGTCCCCTCTCCAGTGAGGATGTACGTGCGTACCGACCTTAATTCAATGATCGAAAGTGTCAAATGACTTTTCAAAAGATTTAGCAGCAGAATGTTGGCATTTTGTGAACACACAAAACACAGCAGGAGAATACTTCGAACTAAAATCATTTGTAACCTTACTTCAACCAATTTGGTTAAGCTTCGTTACGACCTCGAATATGAGCACCTAACATCACTGCAGATAATCTTCAAGTAGTTATTTATACCTTTAGAGCAACCTTCAAAAGATTCGTTGTATCCAATTCACTAGTGCTTACTTATATAATGCGAAATGTTGAGACGGAAACGTTGTACTTTTGACTCGGGAAAAAACAAATCAAATTACCGCGCCGCGTCGCATTGAAAAATAATGACATTCTCGCTTAACTAACAACTCATCTTCAATGAGAAATAGCAAAGTAAACCGCACTTCTCAGTAGTGTAAATTGATTCAGAAAGTAAAAGTTACGAATCAGGACTAGTTTATATGCTAAGATTATGTGTGGCCGTTGCTTCCACGTCAAACAATGACATTAATTGACAAGAAAATGGCAAACTTTCAGAAGATTTGAAAGCATGATAAACCTACTTGAAGTAGAGCTCCTAGGATGCTGCAACAGCTTGGCTGGATCTGTTGCTGTGTCGACTGTGTTTCACACTGAGAAACGGCAGCTTCCTGGAACATTCCTGTGTCATTTCAATATAATATATTTCGACCTTAACTAAGCATAAGGAACTCTTTCATCATAGAAATTGATTGCGTACTTCAGTCATCAAAATGACTTAATTAATGTTTGGCGATAGAGAATCGTAAGCGTCAGAATGCTTGCAGTGACGAAATTGAAAGTATGATAATATGTGTATGCCGTTTTATGAATCATCCTAGGAAATTTGCATGTCCGAAAATATAACATGGAAGACGTGTCTCATTATCCACAGATTCAAGTAAATTTGCTGCTGCGGTTTTCTTACTGAGATTCTAGCTTTTTTCAGCAACGAATCTATACGTGGCGTAGCGTCATTTATTACTTTCACTCCAAATATCAGCGTCGATTGTTACTTTCGCTCCAAATATCGGATTCCTCAAACAGTATTGAGGAGGGTTTTGTTACTAGCACAATAGGTTAGTAAAGATAAGATCAATTTATTTTCGCGGCCTATCATTGTGGTTCTCAAGTCACAAAGACAGGCAGCTTGAAAATTGTGAGCCTTTTCGAAACTAATTTACATTGATTTTATACAGCTTCATTGATATTGACGCTTGACGTCTGCATCCAAATCGATAGTTGCTTGACGACTTCACGGCACGAAGATGCAAATGAGAGTCCAATCAGCAAGTTTCGCCGGAACAATCATCACGTTCCAGCTAACGAATTTCACAAATCAATGAATGAAACCAAAAAACCATTGTTTTGAACTAAACATTGTATCATTCATTCTGAGACTAGGAACCCTATCACGTTCTGCACACATGATAAGAAAAGCTCGATCGGAAGAAGTCGGAAGAAGATTCAATTTGAGAAGAACACCTTTTTCGAAAAGCAGAAATGGAATTAGAAGGCACTTCTATCATGGATCGTCTTCTTACGTGTACCTCGGAGGTTCGATGAACATGGAGAACGACTTGAGCAAAGAATTCAACGAGAAGAAGAGAGCCTGGGTCGCCTTCGGGCCTCTTAAGAAGCCACCAACTGACTGATGGACCCGGAGCTTCGAGCCAACCTGTTCGACTCAACCATTCTTCCGGCACTCTGTTACGCAGTTGAGACTTGGCAGACACTGTAGCCACGTCGAGAGCTTCCTGACCACTCAATAAGTGCTTGAGCTCCTCTGAAGGTAATCCGATACAAGCAACATCTAAGCGGAATTCGCAGTAGGACATGGGAAATGTCCCCGTCTTTGTGACCCAACGAAATACGTTGCGAAAGCGAAGCATCGATGGGCCGACCACGTTATGAAAAGAAAAGACGACAGATGGACGCTAAGAACATCAGAGTGGATCCCTCACAAAGCCAATCTTTCCGAAGAAGACCACTAACGAGATGAGAGGACGTGTTTGTGGAATGGACCACTGAGAGATCAGCTACTCAGGTAATCGCCGAGGGCAAGCAGCCATGCGATTTATGGGCAGGCGGGCACCGGAAAAATAGATGGCTGATTTCTTGCGGTCCGCTTGCAGATTTTCAAGGAATGTTGGACGATTTTTTGGAGAACGCTCGGAGCACAATCGCGGCTTTTCATAGATTAGTGGCGGCGCAGTGGCCGCATTCTCGCTACTTTCCGCGAAAATATGCAAAATTATTGTGGGCCGCACGGTCCTTTGTGAAGGACCGCACAGGCCGTAGGTACTTTTCGCTAAGAGAAAGTACCCCAAACTCGGGTAATCAATTCGATGACACCTCTGCCATGTAGAGTCTTACATTTGCTCGGCGTACGCCCGAAACTGCGTAAAAGAGTCCGAGCGCTCGCTGGATTTATGGCCAGCACTCGCTGAAAGAAATCATTTGACGAGCGCCCGCAGAAAACTTCGTATTGCTTCCCGCTGGCAGAACATGCGACAGTAAAGGAAGTACCGCTCGGTGAAGGTTTGGCCACGCCCCTAAATTCTGCTATCCGCCTGCCTCCGGCGATTATCTGCTCAGACAATCGCCGGGGACAGGCGGGCACCGGAAGAATAAATGGCTGATTTCTCGCACCCCGCTCGCGGATATTTTGGAAAGCAATCAGGACTTTTCGGAAGGCCGCTTGCTAAGTTCTGGATTTCTCGAGGTTCAGCAATGTATCTGCAAAATATAAGAGTATTCAATCAAAGTATTCAATTATCAACAGGCGGTCTGTCAAGAACTCGTTGACCATTTTCCTGGAATTTGCTCGTGGAATGCGAAATTTCAGCAATGCGTATTTTCCGGCGCCCGCCTGCCCCCGACGATTGTCTGAGTGAGTGCGAGAGGGAAACTGAGCACCAACAGGATAACCGATCCAAGGCAACAAGATTTTACAACAGTGGAGACAAATATGATATATGAGATCAAACTGCGACAACAGGAAGGAAAAATCTTGGAAGATTTACAGTTAGAGCCTTTAATGACAGCTGGATAAAATTATAAAGACACCTTGTTTTTTCAAACACCATCGCATTCCTTGACTCTCAAATTTTTTGTACATTTATATCCCAAAGTATGAAATATTTGTAACACCTACGGCCTGTCATCGTATTCAAAGAGGAATGATCACTGCGTGTTTTGCTTAAAAAAACATCAAAATGAATGTGCTCTAACATTTTAAGGAGTTTTCAAGCTTTTGTTCACTTCAGATGATAATTATGGGATCCACTGAGCCTTTCTGATAAACGGTTGAAGAGCGTTTTCGTAAACTCTGCGTGATCGCTGATATTGACAGACAGACTCCAACCTTAACATGGGTTTTTCACGCTTTCAAATCACAAACTCAGTTTTCAAGCAACAGAAAATACTGAAATGTAACTATTACGTCGGTCGTACAACAGTCAACTTGAGTGCATAGTTAGGAAAGAATTTCGAAGTTAGCATTATGCTTCAGTCGCAGTTGTCATCCACTTGAATTTTGAGTAGAGTATCCTACACAATCATGGCCAACTCAGATCACGAATAGAGCAGGAAACCTCTCAAAACTTCGAAATCTTAGCTAATCTCATTCTTTGGGTAATTTCTGACATGAAACAGAGAGAAAAACAATGAGATTTATAATTATGTCGAATCTACACGGCTTGCAGAGAATTTTCGTGGAAAGTATTTCAGGTCCAAATCGCGACTGCATCACTAGGGAAGATCTGTGAGTTGTTGCGAAAGCTGCATCACCATGTAGGCAACGTAATAAATGAAGTCCAGCTCTTCATGAACGTTACTGAGTTTTGTGTTTTAGAAGCGTGACAAACCTGTGTCGAGGTTGGAGTCTGTCCGTCCATATCAGCGATTACGCCAAGTTTATGAAAGCGCTCTTCACCTCATTTATCGAAAAAGCTAAAAAAAGCTAAAAAGACTATGGTTCGAAATGAACAAGAGCTTTAAAACTGCTCAGATCAGCTGTTTGTTGAAGCACATTCACTTTTGATGCTGCTGAAAGCAAAAAATGCAGTGATCATTTCCCTTTAAAAAGGACGACAGATAGCAGATGCTGCAAATGTTTCATAATTTAATTGTAACTGTGCAAAAAAATTTGAGTCAGGAAATGCGATAGTGATTTTGAAAAAACAGGTGTTTTTGATCTTGTGTGGCTTTCATTGAGGGCCTTTTTCGGATTTTTCGTTTTTCTCCGTTCAAACTCAATAAGATTGAAAGCCGCTCTAAGGAGTCTTGATAGGCTAACATGTGCACAATAGAGCAGAGTTTAGAGGTTCATTGACAAGAACGAAAATTACGACGGTTTTTAGAGTGTCTTCATAATCATGTCCAGCACTGTATTACCCGCAAGTGCTCTTAGATTTTTGAATTTCTTTTATTTTAGAGACGAAATGTGGCCTCAAAAGTTTAGAGTCGCACCCATTAGTCATGGAGGATGCATCGTAGCTTTGAATATGTATTTGTGTGTCAATTGCCCTTCTTTGTCGAATTTTGAAGAAAGAAGTGATGTGGGGGGGGGGGGGTAGGGGCACGGACTGATGCGTGCACACACGTAACGTAGGAGAAGAAACAACGAGTGAGGTTTTGCCCAGTATTTTCTTACATTAAACGGGTGGTTGCTCAAAAGTCTTCTCTGCAGCAAATTCCTCCTGTATCTTACAAAAGGGTGTGACCTCTCCTTCGCAGAGGTTCGCACTGGTTCTACTATCTGAATGCCCTACACATTCTCGCATGGCATTGAAACTCACCGCGCAGTGCCGACTATCACGAATAAAATGTAAACAACTACTCATTCTGAAAGCTTTTTCATGTGAAATCAGTGATTTCGCGTATATGAAACCTTTTGCAAAAGAAGAAGCACAAATTTGAAATTTTTGAAGTTTTGAATTTTTTATGGTTTAATAGTCGCCATAAGAACATTATCACCGTGGGCTATATCTTTGCGCAAAATTCTTGTCTGATGTTCGAGTCAAGCCTCGGCAAGTTGACCATTTTTGCAACCCATTTTTTTGCGCCGTTTATGTATAGTAGACTTTTGATCACGTTTTTGGAACTGAGTCCATGGCTTGCACATTTATTTGCCAAACACATCCATGACTCTGCAAAAAGAGATACGGACCCAATTTTGCGGGCCAGAAGCCAAGTGGATCCGTTTGATGCGCAGATTTTGAGGGATTCACGCAAATCTGCGCTTGCTTTTGCATGTTAGACTTTCATGCTGGTAGCAGGCGCTGTGCAAAATTTTTGCAAGGAGATTGGCTGGGACACGCTCTACGAATTTCGTAACACACACATATACAAAAAAACACGTAAACACCTTAGCCCATTATTATAAGTAACCAGTGCGTCACCATTGCTTCGCAGAAGCTTGCACTGGCTCTTCTATCTATATGGCATACTCATTCCCGCATAAGAATGCATTGAAACATACCGCGCAAGGCCCGCCTTCACGAATGAATCATAAACAACTACTCATTCCGAAAGCTTTGCGTGGATGAAACTTTGAAAGATGAAGAACAAATGCAGAATTAGAGCACTTTCGAATTATTTCATGGCTTTGTAGTCGCCATAAGGATAATGTTCACGGTGAGCTACATCCCTGTGCAAAAATCCTCTCAAATGCTCAGGTAAAAACCTGGCAACTGACCAATTACGCAAATGATTCGTTTTCGCGCCGTTTTCGTGGAGTGATAGACTTCTACCATTTGATTCAACTGGCTTGGCGTCGGCAAAGGCGGGCTTCATGACCT